CATAGAGTGATGGCCGGCATATAAAGCGGGTCTTCCCTCTCATACGTGACATCAGTAGTGGTTTCGTATGAGAAATATATTTCACTGATTTGTTTGATTTGCAAAACACATCCAATTATACATAAAACATAAATACAATAATTAATATATTTAAGCATTTCAACTAGAGTGTACTAAAACTTGAATTAAAATAATTACATTTAATAGATTATTCGATGGAAAAATATTAAATATTGATTTTTTTGGGTATAAAGTAATATTTACTTATTTGTTATTAGATTACAAATACATTATAAAATCAATAATTTGTCATTTATTTTATTTCATCATATACATGTTTATTTAATACATTTTGTTAAGAATTTCTTATTAATTAAATAAATAGATTTTAGTATAGATTACTATTTTGTATTAATGAATAAATAATTTAATTAATTTACTGTAAATTAGGAGGGTTTGTATTACATATTTCAGTGTTTGAAACTTTATTTTGTTTTATTTTGAAATACAGACAAATTTTTGAATTCGTTGTATTTTGTTTTACATTAATGCAAAACAAGGGAAACATTTTAGTCAAACCAAATAAGTAGTTAAATATATCGCCAATCATTACAAGTGAGAAACCAAACCACAGGCTAACTATACTGGCTATAAAGCAAACAAATTCCTGCATGCTAATTTTTAGCACCTGTTTAAACACCAATTGACTTAATGGCTTTGTAATGGTTATCAAAGTAGAATTAGTAGCATATTGTTTGCCGGTCACTTTACTCAACCTAACATACTCTACCCGACAATCAATTTTAGAGCCACAAACTTGCCTGCACATTTGATAGACCATGGCCATTTTAGTATCAGGATACGTAAACGGTTCGAGTTTACTTGTGATTGATTTGTTATAGCATAGACCTGATCTGGGCAATGTGGCATGATGTTTCAAATGTCTATCTTGATAACATTTGGCCATACAATGCTCTCTCGATGTATACCCATCGAGACTACGGACACGACATTTGCCAGTTATAGGCAAACGAGTGGACACAACGCGCTCATAGAAAATGGACACAAAATTGAGCATGCTAGTGCTATCAATAACAGTAGCTGCTCGCATTTTAATATCATATATCAATTCATATCGATTGTGAATAAATAGATACATTTGTGTAAACTTAATATATAAGCGTGACATAAATATATAGCCATAACTGGCCATGGGCGAACTGACGTTGAAAAGGTACTTATCATCAGGCACATTATTCTGCTTGACAAACATTGAAATACAATAAAATGTAGAATCCAATGATAATTTAACGGGCGCTATACGACTACAGCTATAATTGCGACCACCATGGTTAATTGGCGAGAAACCCACATCACCGCATCGTATGTACTCATCCAATTGGTCGGCGGATAACAGTAGTTTGAACTGTTCATTAACCAGGTTTTTATTTAATTGAACACGAGCAATTTCTGTCCAGTTATTGATATAACCTTGTTCAATTAGATTTTTTTTATATTGTGGTGAAATAAACTCACTTTTACGACCACATAGAGTGATGGCCGGCATATAAAGCGGGTCTTCCCTCTCATACGTGACATCAGTAGTGGTTTTGTATGAGAAATATATTTCACTGATTTGTTTGATTTGCAAAACACATCCAATTATACACATAAAATATATCCCAAAATTAATATATTTATGCATTTTATCTTGCTAATAATTTACACTGAAATAATATTATTTAATATTTCATATATATTTTATATAATATTATTTCATAATAAAATATTAATTTGCAAAAGTGTTTTATGTTGATTTTTTAGAAAATGAGTTAATATTTGTTTAATGTTACTTAAGTTATTTAAATACATGAAAAATCCAATTATTTAATATTAAAGTTTACATAATTTAATTATACTGAATATTATGGCTCATTCAGTATTTATTTTATAAAAATACAGTAAAAGACCATTTGTGTGAAGTGATTTGGTTTTAGCATTTAATTCACACAAATGATTTGTTAACACAGCTGGTACCTTTTTAACATTATGTCTATGCAGTGCGGGTTCAGAGTTTGGTTCATACAAATGGTTAGTTCACACAACTGCTACTTCACCCAAATGATCCAATACGGTATGTTTTAATTATATAATAAATTGTTTTTAATATTGATTTTGTTTTAAATTTACATTTGTAAGAAATGTGGAGTTTTAGGGGTACTATTTTACTATAAGCCCCTCTATCGAGCTATTAATGTCCTCGTGATATATTAATTGATGTAAAATGTAAATTTTAATGCTGTTCTCAAATATGCAAATATAATTATTTTTAGGCATTTACTTTATCCTAGCCCATGTATTTAATAAAACACAAAGTTAAATAAAGTGATATAAAAGTTTTGTAAATCTTTTAATATTGTTTACATTGATTTTTAAAAATTTTTAATGAAATTTATTGGTTGTAATTTAATCATGATTAAATTTAATAAAATAATTAACAAACATAGACTTATATTAAAACATATATTATTGTATTATTCATATTTAAAACAAACATTTAAATCATTTTGACAATCAATTTAATAAAATAAACTAAAAATTAGATTAAATATTAGAAATATAAAAATTTAAACAATTAATTACTAAAACCTCTGCAATAAATATCATTTCCATTGAATTGAATACTCTTTAGTGTAAGACTTGTGGACAACATTTGACTGAAATCATAATCCGAGAGATCATCGCTTGGATCGCAATTCTTGATGGCAAGCATTTGAAGCGCCGGTAGTCTAGAAATGTAAACCAAAAACTCGCTGTTCATCCTATTATGGGTGAGCCACGGGATCCTGTAATCCTGTATATACCGTATTGTCAGGCATTGAAGTCGCGGCCAATGTTTGTCACAATTTTGAAATACTTTCCCATTTAGTGGATCGAAATGTAGTGTTAAATGTGTTAATCGGTGGCAGAGTTTCAACGGTTCCAAAAAATGGCGATCGATTGGCGTAAATACCGCTAATTCTAAACGTATTAATCGGCGATAATATTTCAACGAATCCAATGTCTGGCTATTTATAAGGGAATCATTTAAACTCAATCTAAGCGACAGTTGTTTCAATTGTTTGCAGTTTAAGCTAATTGTGCGCAAAGACTCGGAAAGTAACGCCTGAACACTCGGTATCGTTGATCCCAAATGGAGTCCCAAATGTTGTAATTGTGTCAGTCGTGACAATAGTTGACACATTTCGGGCAAATCTCGATCGATAACAATTGCGAAATGTTTGAGAGACAGATTCCTGGAGACAAATGCCGGCAAGAGTTGGCTATCGTTGTCCGACGCGACTCGGAATTCCATTGACTGTAAATCATTTACCAATAACTCCGGGAAAGTATTGCCAAAGACATCGGTCAACTGCCATACCGTTAAGCGAGACAATCGGTTGCAATGAATGAGTGACTGTTTGGCCGAACGCTTCCATACAGTCATTTGTGTAACAAGTGATCCATAGGTAGGCAACCATTGGTTACTATTTGATACCAACTCGCAGTGAATGTCTCGCAAATGGTTTCCAAAAGCAGTGATCACTTCGGGAATCAGTTCTTCAGATGTCATTTCTCGACAGTCGAGGCGTCGAATGTTCGGACATTTCATTGCAATTGAGGCCAACATTTGAGTCTTTAAACGGTTTGCGAGTAAACTATCGTCAATACAGATGTCGACAACACTCTTGAAGACTGTCCTCTGGAACTGTTTGGACACACATTCCAATCGAAAGCGGTCTTCGAGTGACAGATAAGACAACAAATACTCAAATAAGTCATCACCGAATCGATCCAAAGAGTCCATCGCATATAGTTTTGGCTAAAATTTGAAACATAAAATACTGTAAACTTAATAAACAGTTAATTATTTGTAAAATACCTGTTGTTTGATGTCTTGATTCCCGTCTACTTTGGTCTCGAGTGATGTCTTCATTGAATTGTTTTGTGACATATTTTGCGATCAAATGAAGTGATTGTATAAATAGTTTGAATGAAATTATATATAAATAATAAAATTAATTTAAAATTATTAAAGTATCGGACAATAAAGGGTAAACACGCTTAACAATTAAACAGTAACTTAATTACAACTATAAGAAAATAGTGTTCACTTTGTTGAGTGAAAATAGACTGCAGTAATACATGGGAAGTGCGGCCCTTATATACCCTGTATATGACATAAAGGTAATCGACAGCTAATGAGTATAATATGTGCATATAATATGATCATGGTGTGTTCAAGGGCTGTGCTGATTGGATAGGTTGCTCATTATACTCACCATGATCACTGACTGGAAAATTACCATGACTGATATTAACTATAAAATTTATTTTAAACTATTTCATAGACAATGAAAAATACAAACAACTCGAGTAATAAATATGATAAATGAATGTTTGATTGAATGTATGAAAATGTGAGTTAATTTCCAGTGCCTGATATATAGTTAATCCAATAATCATAATCATTGTTTATATATAACTAGAAGTTATTTGTGTTTTTAAATATTTAAAACATTATTTAGCATTAAAAACTAAATAAATACATATTTTTCCATTAAACTTAAAATTTACATTTTTTGTAAACTACCAAAGTTTTTCTGCTTAATACAATAATCTCTTTAATTAAATCTGTTGCCATCACCATGGAGAAACCAAACCACAGGCTAACTATACTGGCTATAAAACAGGCAAATTCTTGTGGACTAATTTTTAGTATTTACTTAAATACCAATTGGTTTTGTGGCATTCTAATACGGATGTTGGTAAAGTTATCAAAGTATGTTGTTCCGGCAACATTTGTTAATTTTATAAACTCTGTACGGCAATCCTGTTTCCGACCACAAGTGCTAATACATTCATTTTGAACCATAGTCAAATTGTTGCCACCATCCATATCATAAATCTCCTTGCTACTAACAAGTAGAGTAGGTCCAGTGATATAAAGATATCTTGATGAATTGTGTTTATTCTAATAGAGTAGAGCATAAAAATAATTTAATCGTAATATTTTTTGCTGTAACTCATGCGGGGAGGTGTGGGAGGCGTTTGAACACTTGAGATGCATAGTGTTAATGTATTGGGTGTGCAGAGCGGATGCACACTTGCAGGGGCACAGGCTATGTATTAACATCTCAAGTGTTCAAACGCCTCCCACACCTCCCCGCATGAGTTACAGCAAAAAATATTGTTTTTAAATTTTTTTTTATGATTTACTCTATTAGAATAGACACAATTCATCAAGATATCTTTATATCACTGGACATACTCCGCTCGTAAGATTGTAATTCATATTTCGTGAATATGGTAATTTACCAAAATACCTTATATTAGTATCCGCCTCACATTTAGCCATGCAATGTTCTCGACTATTATAACCATCTAGATTATAATTGTGACAATTACCGATATCGGGCAAACGTGTGGACACAACTCGATCATAACTAATAGTGATTTCCCTTTCATTTGACTTTGCGTTTATAATAATACATGATCTCAGGTTATAATTAAACAATATTACCTTCCCGTTATGTAACATAAGATACAATTGGGTAAAATTAAATTTCATCAAATTTCAATAAAGTTCACAATCTTGATATACCTTGATCAGTTTCTTATCGCGTTCAATAAATGGGCTAAATGTAAGATTACTCGACATGTCATAATAGAGTTCCAAATATGGTAATGTACTATAATATTTCACATGCTTATTCTGATGACATTTGGCCAAACAGTGCTCTCTGGATGTATACCCATCTAGATTGTAATTATGACATTCATCATCAATACCTAAACGGTTTGAAACAACGCTTTCATACGTAATAATGACTAATTTTTCAGCCACATTAATTACAGCCGGATTATAGGCGTTGTAATTATATAACAATTCACTTTTTCTGTGAATTATAAAATATAAAGTAGTAAAATCAAGAGAAACTTTCAATTTTAATATATTATTATTAATGACCATAGCCGAGTTAACAAAGTAATTTTTATCAGGCTCATTGTTTATCTGTAAAAACATTGATATGCAAAATCCATAGGAATCTATTGATAACTTAATCGGCGCAATGCGATTACAGCTATAATTCGACGTAACATGATCAATTGTCATTTTATTGAACGTGCAATTAATGGACTTGTCCACTTTTTCAGAAGATAATAATTGATTAAACTGTTCATTTATTGGCAATTTATTCAAATGGACATAGGCTATATTTGCCAAATTAGCCAAATGACCATGAACGAGCAAATTTTTCTTATATTGTTTTAAGATAAATTGACTTTTATGTCCGCATAGAGTGATGGCCGGCAAATAAAGCGGGTCTTCCCTCTCATACGTGACATCAGTAGTGGTTTCGTATGAGAAATATATTTCACTGATTTGTTTGATTTGCAAAACACATCCAATTATACATAAAATATAAATACAATAATTTATATATTTATACATATTTTAAATATTAATTCAATAAAAGAATTCTATTGTAATATTTGTAATTCTATTCTAATATTTGTAAATAAAATATTTTGTCTTATTTGTTAGAAAAGTTACAGTATATAATAAATATGTATTATTAAATCAAATTTGTTAATGCAATAAATTTATTAACTAGGCTGAAAATAAAGAATTTTAATATTTTGAATCAATCCCATTATATTATTAAATTGTATTATTGTAATAACTAATATCAAACATGTAATATTGTGAAAGGTTTAATAAATAAATAAAACATCACTTACTATAAAGTGAATTACATAGATTGCGTAAAATTGATCTAGCATTACAACATTATTAAATATTATAAATTAAAATATAAATTTTAAAAGTAGGTGAATATACAATAAATTGTCAATTTTTGCTTTTTAAAATAAGTACAATTTAAACTGTATTAATAAGATTAGATTATTTGTGTAAAATGAAAATCTAAAAAAAATAATGATTTTAAGTTGAATTATTCTACACTAAAAATAATTAATTTTTATAATTAATTTGTACCTAGGTGGAATGCGCGGTCGTTGCTTAGGAATAATGAGTTTAAAAGCCAATATTTTCTCATACTTTTATATATTTCAGTGCAAACACACAAAATAAATATAATTTTAATAAATAATTGAACTAAAGTTATTTCTAATAAATTATAATAAAATTATCAATAAAAACTTCTTGTACATTTATATGAAAACGAGGGCAGCTAGTCACAAACGCTATTACACCCATCCACCCCCTCCTTCTACTCCCCTTAATGTGTTTTCAATGCATATTATAAGTCCCCACCCCTCATAAATGTAACGTTTAGTGTATTACAGAATTTGGACCCTTCGAGGCACTTTTCTTATATTACTAATTTTTGATATTTATTAAATATAATTCTTACATAAATAAATTGTAACTTTATATTAAAGAACTTTATATTAAATTAATTTTAAAATGTCGACAAATTTACAAATGTACAAATTTATTTTGCATTATATTTTACAAACAACTAAACAATTTATAAATATTCTTTAATTAATTTAAATTTTCTCAATTTTAAGTTATAGATTGTTTAAAGATATTTAGAAATAAAATATTTTTACATTTAATTAAAATGTTAACAATAATTTTATTTAACCATGGTCATAACTCTATTCCTTCTCCTTTTACAATAAACAAATGTATTCGACAACACATTCATTGTATACTGATTTGAGTTCCACCAAATGGCGGGCAAACCGTTAATCAATTTAATTAATTTATCAATAAAATTACCGATCATTACAAGTGAAAAACCAAACCAAAGGCTAACTATACTGGCTATGAAGCAAACACATTCTTGCATGCTAATTTTTAACACTTGCTTAAACACCAATTGGCTTAAAGGCATTCTAATACTAATCCAGGTAGAATTATTTAAATTTCCATTAATAGATTGTTTGCCGGTAACTTTACTCAATCTTACGTACTCTGTGTTACAATCAATTTGAGGACCACAATTAAGTCTACACTCATTATGGACCATGGCTATTTTAATATCTGGATATGCAAACGGTTCAAATATATTTGTGCTTGATACGTTATAGCAGAGACCCGCTGTGGGCAATGTATCATGGTATTTCAAATGTAAATCCTGATGACATTTGGCCAAACAGTGTTCTCTCGATGTATAGCCATCGAGACTACGGTCACGACATTTGCCAGTCATTGCCAAACGTGTGGACACAATGCTGTCGTAGGAAATGGACACCGTATTGACCATGGTCTCTTTATCTACAACAATACTTGGCCTTGCGTTGTAATTATACACCAATTCGTGTCGATTATGGATTAAAATATACAATTGTGTAAATTTCACGTAAATGCGTAACACAAATAAAAATCCATAACTGGCCATGGGCGAATTATGGTCAAACTGATACTTCTTATCGGGCACATTATCATGTTTTACAAACATCGAAAAACAATACAGAGTGTAATCCATTGAAAATTTTATTGGTATAACACGACTACAGCTATGGTTGTGCCGACTATCGTTCATCGATGTCATACCACAGTGCATGACCTCATCCAATTGGTCAGCGGTTAATACATGTTTAAATTGATCAGTCACTGACAACTTGTTTAACTGATCTTTTATATTTGTTTCCAAACCATTCAAATTACTATGCTCATTATTATATTGCTTTACATACTGGCTATATTGAGTTGTGATGAATTCGTGTTTAAAGCCGCATAGAGTGATAGCCGGCAAATAAAGCGGGTCTTCCCTCTCATACGTGACATCAGTAGTGGTTTCGTATGAGAAATATATTTCACTGATTTGTTTGATTTGCAAAACACATCCAATTATGCATAAAATATAAATACCATAATTTATATATTTATTCATTTTGAAATAGGAAACAGTAATTTATTTAATAACAAACATTTTAGTTTTTAACTTACTGATAATATATTGTTTTTATTTTATT